ACCTTGCGCTTGCCAGGCAGGCGCTTTTGCCGCTGAGCTAAATCCCCAGCCCCTACCCGGGGTAGTCTTGAACTTGTGATCTTTCAGCCTCAGCTTCAGCCTCTTAGAGTGCAAGGATTGCACGTGTGTATTGCCATGCCTGGCTAAGAAGATTAATAAACATTTTCTATTATTTGGAACAAAGGCATATACCCTGTAAGTGTCTTTAAAAATAGTCCCTTCCTCCAGATTGTAAATTTCTTGATTGCAAAGATGACTTCATTTTTTGTGTATTAATCCCACCAAAGCGCTTCCCCGTGCTTATTTTCATACGTTGTGCCAGAGATGTTTTGTTTATCTTTAAAATACAAATACATGTTGTTCAGTAGAGTTGAGAAGTAGGAATGTCTTGAATATTTTCTCTGCTTTTTAACCAAGACCAGGGTTTTTCAAAGCTTACATCCTTATTATATTTACTTTCAAATATAGTACATGAAAGTACTTTATAGGTGTTTGATCTTTTGAAGGTAGTATTGCTGCCTTTGATAAAAAAGTAATTAGGTGAGCAGTTCCTGGTACAGGTAATCATCAAAGCTCAAAAGAAAATATTTCTTTCAACTATTGTATTTCTAGATGTTCGAGCCCATAGCCCGTCTAGCTATTTCCCTCCATCTCTATCGGTATCTCTCCAACCACAGCAAAAAACAGCTTTTGTGAATTTATTTTGTTAGAGCCTTTTTTAAAAAAAAAAATCCAACTTTTCTGTAATGTACCATGACAGAAGATGATAAAATTGCCTAGTTGTGAAATAGGTTTTATTTGGAATCTAATATGCTCTCTGGAAAAAAAAAAAATCACCTAGTAAAGACTATTCACAAATTCTTTTGAGAATACATACAAATAAAATTTCTATATTTTCATATAACCAGGGAAGAGTTATTGCATTTTGTCTTTCTTCTTTTATCAGGGAGTTGAGATTAACTTTTTCTGCCTATCATATGCAATTTTCTAAGTCTTAGAAGCTGAATATTTGCTGCTCTTTGGGCTCTTTGGGGGTAGTGCAGACATCATAAGGACATGGGAATTGTAGAAATGGCTTTTGGTATTAGAATGTTCAATCTCCTACCCTGAGTAAATGTGATATTGAATGCAGTTAAAACACACAGCCCCATTTGGGATAGATAGTAAAGAACTTACCATTGTATTTTAGCTGATTTTGTTAATTTATTCCTCCATCAAGTATTCGTTGAATGCCCACAATGTTCCATACATGTGAGTACCATGACACAGTGACTTCTAGCAAAGAATTCGACTTCACCGTTAGATTGAGTTAAATTCCCTTAAACTCATCCGTCATTCATCTCATACACACATCTTCTCCTCAGATCCTCATAATTCAGTGAGACTGGCCAGAGAAATGAGAATGAGGTGCTGATTGTAATGACCCTCCAGGGAAAGAAATGTGTCATCCTGTGCTTGGGGTTTCAAAGAAGAAATGTTCAGACTCTGGATTTAGAGTCTTCATTATTTAGAAGGAGGGTCATGTTCCAGACCAGCAGGATGTTATACGGATGATGATATGAAGTCCCAAAGGGAACTTGAGCACAGTATGTATGACTGTAACGGCAATGGGGAAGATGAGGAAGGCTGAGGAGAAACCAGCTGGGAAGAGGACAAAAAAATAAAACCATTGGAAGAGTTGATTTTGGCCTTTACACCAAATTAATCTGCTCTTTTGCCTTAGTTTTCATTTTTTGCTATGCTTCATGTATTTTTACACCCTTTGTTATACCATATGATGAGGAGGCAAATAAATGGAAAACAGGAAATTTTATCAAGGAAACAAATTCTGAACACTGCTTTGGACATCGCCCATTAAATTCCACTTCATTTACCACTATAGCTATGGCCATTATTCTATGTTTATTGTACACAGTGAAGGCCCAGAACTGTTAGGAAATGTAAGGACATAGGTGATGTGTCTCAAACATGTTTACATTAAAACAAATGGAATATGGAAAAGTTTTGAGAAGATACCAGTTTCTAAAGATTCACAGAAACTCGGGAAAGGTGATTGTTCTTTTCCTTCCAACTTTGTGCCAGACAGCACAATATAACGGGCATTATATTTTCTTTTCCGATTTAGGCTTGCTCATGTACAGTGTGCTTTTACTTGAAACTGGACCCAGCAGGATATTATGTGGCACTGTGTCAACCTCCTTAGGCCCCATTTAAAGAAATCTTCCTTTGTCGGACTGTTCACTTAGCTCATTAGTGCTATAAAGGAAACCTCATCTAAGATTTACTCATCATCTATTTTGCATATTTATCAGTTGCTGCCTTTGGCCAACACTGAATTAATTTTGGGTGATACTTTCATATGGTGTTTAATTACTTTGCATTAATAGAAGATATTCAGTGTCACTCCTAAAAATGAATTATTCACAGAAGTATTGTGTGAGCGTTTAGTCTGAAACTCCCCTGGAAGTTGTAAAAGCTTTTTCCCTTCTAGTTCTGTTGGATGTTATCGTCCATCTGGGGGCCATGCCCTCTGCCTGTTCTCCTTTGTGCCTCATTCACACATCAAACACGATTGGAAAGCAGCCCCAACCTCCCCATTCTTCTTGATAGTAGGCAGCTGCTTCCGATAAAAACAGTTCTGCTGATACCTGTAAACACTTGACACTTGCGACTTGCCTGGGACAGCACACCATCCTTCATTATTCCTACGAGAAAGAAGCAAATAACCACAAAGCAGAGAATTTTAAGAAGCCGCAAGGGATGGGGACTGAGTATGACACCCTTCCGTTACAGGTGCAGAACGGCCAAGTTTATGCCTAGGGTGATCAAAAGCATTCTCTTTGCATGTGTCATCAAATGCTTAATGAACGCTTATATAATAAGAAAGTACTGTGACTGTTGATCATGTGTTACAAAGGAGAGTACATCATTTAAAAATCATTGTTTTATTTACACATTTCATTTATACAATTAAACTTTTATCTGATAAGTTTTTCATCTGTGGAGTTTCATTAGGACCTGATGATCAAGGCATCTAAATATGTAAAAGGATTTCTTTTTTTAATGTCATTGCTGGAGGACTAAAGGAGGAAAAACAATTAAGGCTGCTTTGTGGTGATTCATGTGACTGCTGACATAGTATACCCCTAAAATCCTACCGGCATTCTACGAGGGTAATCGAGTGCTGTGTAACAGGTGGTATTAAGAACAGCTATAGAAAAAATAACTTTTCTCTCTTCTCTCTCTTTCTCTTTCTTTGTCTCTAGATTTATAGCCAAACCGTGTGCCATAGCCCTCAACATTCAGGCCAGCGGGCCGCAGATTGCCCAGCCAAATGCCATTCTGGAAAAGGTCTTCACTGCAATTACAAAGGTAAGAGGGTCCTTTCCTGGGGTATGACTTACCCACATCACCACTATCCCCAACCTGCAGTGATGCACTTCTTTTTCTCCTGGGTTTGGAGAACCAATTTTTGCCCTCCTCATGCTGGAAAGTGCGTTGAGAACGCAAGTATTGTGATTAGACCTGTGCAGTGGGAGCTGAGTGAAGATGGGTGTGCTCCAGACCTGCTGCTTTACTCTTGAATTGCTTTGGGAAGCTTGTCTGGGAAAAAAGGTCATGGCGGGATAGTGCTTAGTCGAATCCAATGCCACTTTAGTTTCAGGTGACATTAGGCGGTACAGATAAGTCCTCGGTAGGGCTTTGGAGGGGACTGTGAAGAACGAAGGAATGCAATTTATGTATGTGTGAGGAAAAGGGACCTGTTCACTTATCACATTGTCCATACGCCCTAGGAATTGTGATAAACAGGCAAATGTGAAGAACAAAGAAAAGGTGATTGAAAAAGAAAAGAGCTGAGTGTGAAGAATGAGGAATTTAGGCCAAGAGAGTTAAAAGTGAAGAGATAGCTTCACTGTGCTGCGTAAAAGAGATCCTGAGTGTGGTGGGAATCAAAGTGAATGGGAGGAGGGGGGAGGAAGGGCTGCCTCCTTGGCCTCGCCTCACCTCAAGTAGGTGTCTCCTTAGGAACAGGAGGACAGGGGAAAGCCAGAAATCAGAAACCCTGGGTCCAAGTCCATCCGAAAGTGAAGCTATCGGATTGTCCATGGCACTCTCACTCTTACAGCTCTCATGTAGATCTTAACTTACTCCTCCCTGGACAAGAAAGAAGAGCAGAAGCGTAGCCTTCTGTGAGAAGTGTGTGTTCCTGTATCAAGTGGTTCGTTTTCCCTCTTTTATTTTTCTGGAAGCATCACCTTGGATTCTAAGATGTGATTTGGCAGTGTTGAGCAGATTCTGTTTCTTTTTGGAAATTTGTGATGCTAGCCATTATTACTACTACATCTATTAATTCAACTATCCTAACACACTATTTTATTTTCTTTCTTTCTGCCAAAATTCTGTAAGATTGTCCTTCTTCTTTTCAAAAAGTAGATTTTTTCCCCCCCTGGAAAAGTGTAAGAAAGCACAAGTTATGTTTTTTTTTATTTTTTAATTTTAAAAATTTTTTTTGGTTTTGGTTTTTTTCCAGTACCAGGGATCGAACTCATGACCTTGCGCTTGCCGGGCAGGTGCTGTGCCGCTGAGCTAAATCCCCAGCCCCAGTTATGTTTTTTAAATATCTGCAAAGAAGAAGAGAAGAATGAGTAGAACTTTAGGAAAAGCTCTTTTAACGTTTTGTGGGATTATTTAAGGACCTAGCCCAAAGGGACACATATCCTGTGGTATTTAAGAAAAGAAATTATTTAGGGAAAAAAAACCACACATTTTCATTATTGTATCAATTTACTATAATAAAACATTTTCTCCTTAATAAAAAGCAGACATATAGGGAATTTTTGAAGGTTTTTTGTTTGTTTTGTTTAGTTTTTTTTCCTTTTGTCACTGGGAATTGAACCCAGGGCCTTATGTATGTGAAGCACATGCTCTGCCAGGTTCATTTTTTAATGTGATAACAATGTAATTGTATTTTCTTTGTGAATGGGTTAAGCACACATTGTTCTAAATGACCAATAAAATGAGTTTTATGTCTCCCTTTAAAACCCTGAAGTCGACATTACATTTCCTTGTCTTACATTTATCACACTTTCTGGGGGACCAGAAATTTCCCCTACAAAGGTAATAAAAAGGTTTGGAGATAGTCACTATTCTAGAGATTATTTGCTTCTAGCTAATTTTAATGATCAGAGTCTCTTAGTTTCCAAGGTGATTCCTTTGGAAATTTTTACGTGATTAAAACAGAAGCCGCATGTTTTAAATATAAATGCAGCACAAGTCAGAACTGTTTTGCCTTGGATTCTTTGTAGTTCTCCAGTCTTGGTGATGTACAATGTGACAGGTCGGTTGCCTGGAATAGGAAGAGCAGGATTTAGAGAGCGCAGGAAGGTCTGTGGTGTCTTGGCTTGGCTGCAGGGCCAGGTGACCTTTAGAGGAAAGGTATGGTTATCTTCCTCCAACTGTGTAGGGATTTACCCCCCAAAATGCTTAAGTCTAACATATGCAGGCAGGGCTACATAGTTTGTGGGGCCCAGTGAAGAATTAAAATGTATGACCTCTTGTTCAAACAACACAAAGGAGCTTTTCCCTCCTTTTCACAATCTTGTCTAGTCTGTTGAGGTGTTTTTGTTTGCTGTATAATTGTCATGGAGTTACTCAAAGGGCAAGGCAGCCCCTCGCAGGTTAGGGTTAGGCTTAGGGTTAGGGAAAAGGAACATTTGAACACAGACACAGACATGTGGGAGATGATGTGGAGAAACAGAGGGGAAAATAGTGTGACCGTTAAGCTTACTTGTCAACTTGATTGGCTTGGGAGCTACCTGGGGCGTCAGAAAAGCACACTTCATGCTTGGCCTAGGTAGGTCATAGAGTAGGATTCTGATACTGTCTCAGTCACCCACTCTGATGTTCCTGCCTTGGCACTAGCTAGCCATGGACTGAATCCACTCAAACTTTGAGCCAAATAAACCTTTCCTCCTTTAAATTGCTGTTTTGTCCAACAGTGTAAAAGCTAACGAATACAGGTGGCCATCTATATGCTGAGAACTGGAGCATATCCTTCCGCACAGTCCTCAGAAGGTACAAACCCAGCAGATATTTTGATCTGGAACTTCTAGCCAATCGGTTTGTGATACTTTACTTTGTTATGGCAGCCCTAGCTAATTAATACAGTCATGAACAAAATATATGAGATACTTTAAGACAATGTAAAAAGGATGAAAATAAGAACAAAGTGAAGATACCTAGGCAAATATAATTAACAAAGAAAGTAAGGTTTTTAAAAGCATTGAGTGAAGTAAATAAATTAGGTTTTATTGCCAGAAGGCACAATTTATAATGAAATTAAATGGCTATAAATATTTATACATTAAATATGATACATTAAATATATATACATTGAATATACATTATATATCCTATATATTCATAAAAAGCATTTAAAAAAGAAACAAACGTGAGAAATTTCAATTTACCTCTAGGTCATGACAGATTCAATAAAAAATAGAATATAGAAATTGTAGGAAACATAATTAATAAGGAAGATCTAAGGGATGAATTTAGAACCTTGTACTCTTGAGTATAGAGACCAGTCTTTTACCAAGTACCTACCAAATATTTACAAAAATTGAGGATATCCTATCATAAATCTATAATAAATTTTAAATATTAGGTATAATTTAATAGTACTAAAAATTAGAAAACAAAAAAAAGAAAAAGAAATGGAAAAACAACTCAGAAAGTCTTTTATTTCTAGAAATTTCTAGATGCTTTCTCAACTATTTTTTGAGCTTAAGAATCAAGAAGATTATGTGAATAATAATAATGAAAGCACCACTTATATGTCCATGATAAAATAGTGGTCCAGTGCAAACTCATAATATATGAAAAAAAGAACCAATTAAACATTAGGAAAAAAACCACAGCACTCAGGATATAGCTCATCAGCGCCTGGCAAGTGCAAGGTCCTGAGTTCAGTTCCCAGTACCAAAAAAAACCACAACAAAATAAATAGAATGAAGCAGAAGGAAAAAATTAATAAAGATAAAAGCCCACACTTATGAGTTAGCAAAACTATAGAACTTAAAAATTTTTATTTAAAAGTGCATCATTGGTTTATTTGCTTTTAAACAGAAAACCAGCTAGCTCAGTCATGAAAAAGCAAATAAAAACAACAACCAAAAGAGCCAACACATGAACAGTATAATAATTGATAACAGTAAAAGCAGGAAAATTAAGAGTATGTTTCTAAATAAGCGTGAAAAACAGATAAAAATGGGAATTGTTCTGCTGTTTGCACCCAGCTCTGGGAAACGGGAAGACACTGGAAAGAGTCTTTCTTTCTTCCTGCTCTCTGTGCTCCAAGCCAGTTGTCAGCTTCACACACCAACTGATCTGCTAAGTCAGATGTAAAGTTTATTTATTCTTAAACATTTTAAAATTTTTGTTAGTTCGTGTTTGCAGCGCATAATGCTGATGTTCACCATGGGAAGTCAGTACATGTACATAATACATCTCAATAGTTCTCTTTATTGCAAAATGCAATTACCCTAGTAAAGTATAATATTTTGTGTGTTTACAGATCAAACTAAAAGAGCTAAACTGGAAAACTTTGCCAGGCTGTGATGCTCTCACAAAAGAATTATTATTTTGTCATGCTATATCATTCACTCAAAACATTTATTGAAATCAGTGTGGTGGCACATGTCTGAAATCTCACCACTCAGCAGAGGCTGAGGCAGGAGGATTGCAAATTCAAGCCCTGCCTCGGCAACTTAGCAACTTAAGGAGATCCTCTCTCAAAATAAAAGCATAAAAATCGAGCTGGAACTGTAGTTCATTGTGAAGGACCTGGGTTCAGTTTCCAGTACAACAAAAAAGCAAAAGCTAAAGCAAATAAATATATTTATTGAACATATAGTGATATGCTCTTTTCATTGCTCAGTTGATTAGCATTTCTAAGACACTTGAATGCCTAGGCTCCTTCCTAGTGGTATTAGAAATTGTATTTACTGTTTCTTTTTAAATTGTATATATTTAAGGTATGCAGTATGATGTTTTGATATACATAGTGGAATGGTTAATATAGCCAAACAATTAACATATCTGTCTCACAGAAGAATTCTAATGCATGCTTAAAAACAGGTGATTCTTTTAAACTATATGAAAGCACAGAAAAATTTAAAAACCATTCATTTTTCCTTTATTGTAGCATTTAAACTTCCATATGAAACCCTGACAAAGACTTCATCCCCCAAACACTGGAGACTAATCATATTTATTGAGAAAAATGAGCAAACAGAACCCATTTTTTCAATGAGGAAAGACAGTGGTAACACATTAAAGGAATTTTCATAACTAAATAGAATTTATTTTAAGAATGCAGTGTCTTTTTTGTAATATTTAAAAATATATAGAATTCATCACATTAATAAATCTGAAGAGAAAAATACATGATACTATATACATGCTGAACCTAACATCTTTTTAATTGAAATGAAATGATCCAACTAGGGCTTAAAAATGACAAGAAAATATATTCACAGGAGAAACAAAATCCCTAGGAGTAAGCATAATGAGGTATGTGCAAGATCAATATGAAGAAAGTTTTCAAACATTTTTAAAGGACATCAGAATCAAATTGAGTAAGGATTTTAATTCATCCTACATTAATTTAAGAAGTTGGAGTGATCTTACTAAAAATCCCAACAAGCTTGCTTGTATGACTGTTTATTTTGAAAACAGGCTAATTCATGTAGAGAAATAAAAGATTTTTGAGAAAACTGACTGCATATTCCTGGTACATGAATAATAAATCAGTTGAAGAGCAGATTGTTTTTTCAGTGAGGAAAAGATGAATAATAGTATTGGGATATTGGGTAGACATCTAGAAAGAAAGTTAGAATCATATCTCACACTGAATCTCTCAGCTTTATTTCAGATACACTAAAGATCTGAATGTATGAAGCCCCTAAATATATTAGAAGAAAACCTGGTAGAATTCTTTGAACATTCAGAGTAAAGATGGCTTTTCTAATTATGACTCAAAGTTGACAGGCTATTTTAGAAAAGACTGATAAATTCAAGCATATATTTTAGGCAAACATCTGCAAGTAAAACAAGCAAAACTGCCCAAAAGCAAATTCTAAAATACAAATGACATACTGGTAAAAAGTGTGCAACTCATAGTGTAGATAAAGGTTTAGTTGCCCTAAAATATAAAGAAATCCTACAAATCAATAAAGAAAATATCAAATCAAGAAAAAAATAGGCAAGTGATATAGCATACTCTTCACAAAAAAGGTAAATAGAAAATATTTTTAAAAACCTAGGAAAAGATGCTTCTTTCTTTCTTTCTTTCTTTTTTTTTTTTGGTTTTTCTCCGGTACTGGGAACCGAACTCACGACCTTGTGCTTGCCAGGCAGGCGCTTTGCCACTGAGCTAAATCCCCAGCCCCAATGCTTCTTTCATAAAAAGAAAAAGAAAAACTTTGCTGGGATACAATTTTTGTATACCAGGCTACAAAAGCGAAAAAAATGTGATTGATATACTCCACTGAGAAAGCTTTGGAAAATGGATACTCTTGCTTGTGAGTATAAATTCCTAAGATCATTCGAGTAATTTTTTTGATATCAAAATAAATTACAGGAGCATAACGCTCTTTGATCTACAACTTTCACTTCCAGAAATTTATTCCACAGATAAATCTGTTCAAAATAACCAATGGCAAATTTACCTACTGCAACCTTGTTTATTGCAGAAGTTCGGATACTTTGTTAATATCTATTACTAGTAGAATGTGTAAGTAAATATCCCTCCAGTTCTACAAAAGAATGAGGACATTTTCCCAGTAGCGATATGGAAACATTCCAAGGATATATTGTAAAGTAAAAAAACCTAAGGGCCAGAACAAAGTTCATAGTATGCAACCATTTGTGTGATCAGGTAGGGATATAAAAATATGTTTTGCTCCTATTTACATGGTCAGTTTTGCTTAGAGTTACATAAAGTAATTCTGGGAAGAGACTGATTTAATAACGGTGGTCACCTGTTGAGAAAGGGAAAAGAGAGGCTGAGAGAAGAGGAAGGAAGTTGGAAGGTGAAACTTTAGACCATTTAAAAATTTATGACCCCTTAGGAAAATAGTTTCTTTATTAATGAACTTAGAAAATAGATTAAAATTAAAAATGAGTTTCTCATTAGGAAAATGGTATTGCTAACACATGTTATAGGCACTGAGGGTTCCTGTTCTCATGATGCTGAGGAAAGATATGAAAGTGTAGACTGCATCATTAGTAAAAAGAACTCAGATAACATAGGCACCAGGTCACTACATTTCGTACCTGAAGGCCATTTGCTGTATTTTCTGGGTGTCTGAGTATCCTAGTCAGTTCGGACTGCTGTGATAGAATATTGTAATCTGGGTGATTTAACAAAGAACTGTTATTTCTCACACTTCTGGAGTTTGGGAATCTGAGACCCAAGTGCCAACATGGTCTAGTTCTTGGCAAAGGTCCTCTTCTTCACGTGGCAGAGAGAGAGGGGGCCAGCTATCTACTGTGTCTTCTTACAAGGCCGTGAATGTCTGACGTCCCAAATCCATCACATTGGGGAGTAGAGTTTCAACATATGAGTTTGGGGGTGACACATGCCCCTGGAGTTGCTTAGGATGCTTTTAGAATGATGTCACTTGTACATTCCACCCTTATGATGTGGAGGCTGGTCAGCTTGCCTTCTCCCTCCTCGGCTTTTGGTTATTTCCATGATCATTAATATTAAAACAGAATAAATAAAGGAATGGAACTCACATGGCTCAGTTTTGTTCTATAGCAGATCACCCTCACTTGATTGTTGAGGGGTTACCCTTGAACATAATTGAGAGAAAGGAGAAAGAGAAGAGAACTAACTAATGTTAGTTAGAACTAACTAACTAACATTTGCCCCATTATACATACATTCACACATTTAGTTCCTACCACAATCCCATTTAGGTTGACTGTCTTTCTTTTTATAGATGTGGAGACTGAGGCTCAGGCAGGTTATTGAAGTGAGCTGAACTTTTGCTAATTGTCTCAGGACCATCTCTGTCCATTTTACCACATTTGCTTTTCAAGTAATATATAGTCTTAGTAAAGGAGTTGATGTAGGATTCAGTTGAAGGCAATAACTAAGAAACGGAATCCATGAGAAATATGTATAGGATGGGGAAAACGGAGGCAAAGAAAGTATGTTTGGTGCAAAGGTTCCCTGGGCTTAAGTGAGGCAGTTTGGAATTTTCCATGCTTTTCATCTGTCCTACATTATCCAAATATGTGATGGGTGAGTCTAACTTTATTTTTCCTTGAGAAAGTGAAGTTCCACAAGTGACAGCTCTTTGCAGATTCCCCTTCACCTGACCCCCTTCCTTGAGGGCTGATGGGGCTGGTTCAGCCACTCAGCTGCTCCATCAGATCTGGGCTGCCTCTTAGGAAGTACATTGCTGATAAGGGTACGTGCAAGCTTTACAGGGAGATCCGTGCTTTTTCATTGTGTTTCCTGTGCGTAACCTAGTAATTATTTATGTTCATGCTGCTAATGCCAGGCCTAGACCCTCATGGTAAATGGAGAAATCTCAGTAGCAAATAATAAACACAGGAGGAAAAAAGCTCAGGTAGATACAAGGGCAGATCTGTTTATGGTGAAAATGAGAATGGATTGAAAATGCTTTGCCTGTAACGTGTTTCATAGCATCCCGATGAGAAGAGATTGGAAGGCCTCTCCAAGCAGCTGGACTGGGATGTTCGAAGCATTCAGCGCTGGTTTCGGCAAAGACGCAACCAGGAGAAGCCCAGCACCCTGACGAGGTTCTGTGAGAGCATGTAAGTTGCTTTTCTCTCCTATCTGAAACAAAAGCCCACCTCTGCTTTTCATGCCATCACTGAGATGAAAATTAACAGATCCATAATGGCTCCAGCAACCCTTGAGAAAGCATATTCTCTGGTAGGACCCCAGTTGGGGAAAACTAGGGGGCAGTGGAGTGTAAGGGTCTGTACGTTCTACTTTGGGTGCAGTAAATGGAGCTCACTTCCTAATGATGTTCCTCCAAATAAGCAGATGATGAGGACTTGCTATGGTATTTTCACCATCCATCTTGGAAATGTAGCATTAAAAGCCTTTACTTTCACATGTGCTGGTAGTTTGAATTTTAATAGAAAGGATTTCATCAAGGCATGTTTTTCCACTGAGATATTAGGATATATCATCAGAGGGTCATAACAGTGTCCTGTATTTCTGGAGATTTAAGAAATGGCTGTTGTGCTCTATTCCTGGGGAAGTTTAATGAAGCATTTCTTGATGGAGGTAGAATGAAAGTCCCTTCTATTTCTGAATATGAACTTCAAAATGTGTAAATTATATAGCGTCAGTAACGCTGTTAAAATAATAAAAAGACCTCAAAGTGGTATGTTGAGATAGAGTTACTGAGTACACTTAGAAAAATCGGAAGAGGAAACACTGAAGCCTTGAGCACATCCCCAACGAAGGGAAGATTCTGCCTCGAGTGTCAGTACTCGACCTAGGGTCTGACTGTTCCTCTGTTCCATATCTCTTTCTTTAGGCAGTGAGCCTTCCTGACACCTGGTTATTTACACAGCCTTGCTGACCGGGAGCTCCCTTAGTTGCAGACCCCTTCCATTTGGGGTTAGAGTTGCAATTTCAGGTTTTGCTTAGATCACAAAAGTATTTTAGCAATTGCGATCTAAGTTCTAGAGGGAAACTTAACATTATGGGAGAATGCATGGGAGGTAGAATGAGAATTTAAATTCCTGGTGCTGTGTAACTACAAAAGTTCCTGAATAGAATCTTCAAGAGATCAGAATTTTTATAAAATCTAGAAAAACCACCAGGGAGATAACAATCTATGAAGCCTGCGTATAATTAAATTTGGTAGCAGTTTATGTGAGGATTTATGGGTCTACGCACCTGTTCAAAAGCTGGATTGTTTCCTTAGGGGACCCTGCCACGCATACAAAGGGCCTGGAGCCCATCACCGAGCCAGAAGTTGGAGCAAGGGTGAAGCTGGGCCTCTGCACAGGTCCCACATAGTTGAATTCATGTGCTCTCGTTCCCGCCTCCACTTACTTCTTTGGTAACTCAGTGCTGGCCCCTTCTAAACTATACTGAGTTGACAGTAGTTGTTTTCAAGTATGAATGTGTACAGACATGGGTCAGCGGGGATCTTGTCACAATGCAGGCACTGAGTCAGTTGGTCTGGGATGGCAGCTGCAAATCTCCTGCTCCTCCTCCCCGCGCCCCCTCTCCATTCTCCTCCTCTACCTCCTTTGTCTCCTGTTTAAAAAAATTTTATTGGTATATTTGTGATACACATAAAGATCACATTCATCACATGGAATTTGTACCTGATATATCATGTTATATCTTGATTCTTCTTTTGTTCCCATCCCCCTCCTCTCCCTTTAACTCCTGTTCTCTTCCTTATTTACAAAAGCTTTGCTCCATTTCTTCCTTCTTTTCTAGTTTTTTTTTTCTTTTTCCTTCCTCTCTTTTCTGCTCCCCCCTCCCTAGTTCCCCTTCCTATTTGAATTTCACTGAAGAGAATGGTCTCAAGGTGCATCCGTTTACCTAGAAATGTCTCAAGTTTATTCTTCTCTATGGCAATGTGCAAAAACTTTTTATAAGATGAGATCACAGTCGTTGATTCTTTGAAGTATTTCTTGTGCATTTGGGGTTTTGTTCATGAACTCTGCCTACATCTGTGTCTTCAAGATTTTTATCTACTTTCTCTTCCAATAGATTCAGCATTTCTGCTTTCCTATTTAGATCTTTGATCCACTTTAATTTTTTTTTTAGGGTACTAGGAATCCAACTCAGGACCTTGTACTTGCCAAGCAGGTGCTCCACTTTAATTTTAGCTTAGTTATCTAATCTGTTCCATTGAGCTTTGGGTCTGGTGGGGTTTTTTTGGGGTTTTTTTGCCAGTACCATAGTGTTTTTATCATAGTAGCTTTGTAGTATAGTTTCGCATCAGGGATTGTAATGCTCTCTGCCTTGCCTTTGTTGCCCCATTTTGTTCATAAAGTCTTTGCCTACACCTGTGTCTTCAAGGGTTCTACCTATTCTCTCTTCCAGCAGATTTAGCATTTCTGTTTTAATATTTAGGTCTTTGTTCCACCTTAATTTTCATTTAGTGAACAATGATAGACATGGGTCTAGTTTAGGCTTTGGCATGTGGAAAGCCAGTTTTTTCAGCACCACTTTTTAAAGATGCTATTTTTCTTCCAGGGAAGCTATTTGGCCCCTTTGCTTTTGTTATTAAAAATTCATTGTTCCAAATGAATTTTTAGGAATGTTTTCTCTAATTCTGTAAGGTATAGTATTGGTGTTCTGACAGGGATTGTACTACATCTGTATAACAATTTTGAGATTATGGTTATTTTCACCGTATTGGTTCTTCCTATCCAAGAGCAAGGGATATCTTTCCATTTTCTGATATCCTCTTTGAGCTCCTTTTTCAGAGTACTGTAGTTTTCCATGTACAAATCTTTCACTTCCTTTGTTAATTTGATTCCTATGTATTTCATTCTGTTGTCTGCTATGGTGAACGGTGTGGTTTACCTTATTTCTCTCTCAGTGAGTTTATTTGTGTTCAGCAGTGCTATTGATCTATGAGTGTTGACTTTGCATCCAGCTACAGAAGTACATTTGGTTATTAAATCTAGAGTTCTTTTGGTGGATTTTTGGGGGTCTTCTTTGTAGAGTATCATGTCATCTGCAGATAATGACAGTTTAACTTCTGCTGAGAGATATTTTTAAAAAATGATTATGTTTATGAAACAATTTGTAGGGACAGTCAGTGGCTAATGATTAAAGGAAAAAAACTCAACCGTGGGTTGGAGGAACTCAGCAGTTATGGGAATACCACTGAATCAATGCCACGGCCTTTGCCTGCTCTGTTGCATGAGATCGTGTTGGTGAGCTCTTATTTTAACTCCTCTTTCTTGGCTTCAGGGTTGGCAGTAGAGTCTTCTGCTTACCCAGGGACTTTTGTCTGCATCATTTACTCAGCATTTCTCATGTGGTCTTTAATGGGCTACTTCTCCAGGTTCAGTTTTCAATCTCTTAGTTTTTTTTTTAAACTCTGTAGAGAAGTCACTTCCTCTCACCAACCTCTACTGAAGCCCTATGTCCAGTGCAGACGTTCCCCCGGGGCACTTCTCTGCTGTCTCCACCTGGCCGCTCTTAATTTACTTCCGTTCATGTGCTCCTGTGTTTGATGCCTGCATTTTGTGTAAGGTGGGCAACTCAAAGCAATTGGCGACTGAGTTCCAAGAATTCTTTGTATATCCACCACTCCCAAGCAGGGCAGATCCTGTTTGCTCTCATTGGACTCCTTATCTCTCATACTCAGAGGCATTTTGCCTGCTTCACCCTTCCCTCAAGAGCCCAAACATTATCCTAAAGTACTATTATTTGCATGTTCTGCTGCTATCAAACATTGACTTTTCTTCAACTCTAGGGTGTTAGTCTCCCTAGCTGAGAACCAGTCTGACCTTTGATTGTTTGACCTCAGTTACTCAAATGCCCTTTTACTTCCAGAGAGCTGTATTTTCACTGTCCGTGCCATCTTCCTTCCTGTCTGGCTTGCACACTGTTCCTGGCCCAGAACACCTACTTCCTCTGCTTGTCCACGTAGCCTCTACCCATTAAATTTTAGCCCTTTCTGGAGTGTGGCCTGACTGCCGGATCTGGAGTGAGCACTTCTGCCTCAGAGTCTTATCCTGAGCACTAATAACTTAATATTAAGTCACGTGCTGCTTTATGTGGTGTTTTTTTTTTAACTGTTCTTACCTTGGCCATCTGTATCCACCCCAATTATACCGTTAGTGTTTGCTGAAGTGCACAGAGGCCAACCCTTACTCTTGTGTTCTTCTTAAGCTTTACCATAACATACAGACTCCACCAGAAAAGCATTTGTCCAACGACTGTATATTAAAATGACCTCATTTTAGAGGAGTGACTGACCTCACTTGCCACTCGTCCCCACCACTGAAATGGCCTACTGTACATGGCACTCGGTCTTTTTTTTTTTTTTTGCGGTACTGGGGATTGAACTCAGAACCTTGTTCTTGGCAGGTAGGCGCTTATACCACTGAGCTATATCTGCAGCCCTAAAACCAAGGTGCGTCCTTTTTTTTTTTTTTTTTTGGTACCAGGAATTGAACCCAGGACGTTGCACTTGCCAGGCAGGTGCTTGTGCCCCTGAGCTATATCCCTGCTCCTACTGTACATGAACTCACCATGAAATTCTTCCAGGTAACCCTCTTGACTCCACAGTAATTCTAAGGACAGGGATTCATAGGAAAGAGCTGGAGAGGTGCCACATACCTGTAGTCCCTGGTAACTTGGAAGTCTGAGGTGGGAGAATCACTTGGGTGCATAAGTTCAAGACCATTCTGGGCAACATAATGAGACCTTATCTCAAAAACAGTAACAAAACAAAAAAAGAAATTCAAAGGAAAGAGGGGGTGGCAAAGGAGAATATGTGGAGAATACCTGGAGGGATGAAGTAGAATTAATATTACTCTATATGTGCACATGCGTATATCATAGTTACTCACCTGGAAAAATGATGTTGCCTAATTGCTCTTAACCAGGGAAGGTATTTCACAATCACCTAATTAGGTTTTCCAAATACACTTGCAGGCCTCACCGCAGGGTGTCTTTCTCAGTAAGATGACACCAGTGGGGGCCTGGACATGTTTATTTTGGAAGAACAGTCTCAAGTGTATATGACATACATTGCTGTTTTTAAAAAGAGAGATGTTGGGTGGTGGTGGTGCACACCTGGAATCCCAGCTAT